CCCTTGGGAAAGGTGTGAATCCTCTTCTTCTTCCTCCAGCTATGGTTAAATAGCAGGACAGACTGGGTTCTGTAGCCGTGGATGGCAAATGGTCTAGGAGATGGACAACTCTGAATTCAAAACCTGCGGAGAGTCGTTTGGGGACCTTGTGGCACGTAGTGCACCAAGTCTCTGTATTCGGCCCTTCAAAAAGTGTGGATGGTCCTGCACGAAACCTTCACCACTATATTCAAATCTCATGAGCTGTTGTCGGGCTGTCGGTTTCCTGGGAGCTGACCTGCTTGTCCATCATACGTCTAATTCGACGGGAGAGCCGAGAGATATATATATATATATATATATATATATATATATATATATGCAATTCTCGTGGCCTGAGGATTGCATCTAGCACGAAACAGACTGTCGCCTCTAAGTGTTGACTTCTATGTTCACTTATATTTACACACGCTCTATCTTTGATATTGAGCACTTTATCCCATAACTATAGCACATCTTAAGACTATATATATATATATGTGTGTGTGTGTGTGTCTGTGTGCGTGTGTCTATATCTCTATGTTGGGATGGAAATATTTTATTTTCCAAACATTGTCAGTACGTTGTGGTTCTATTCTTAAATGGTATTGTTAGTTGCTGGATTTTATTATTATTATTAATGCTTCGTTTAATTAACTTATTAATTACTCTCACCTATGAACACGGTATAATCAACTGACATTGTTTGAAAAAAAAAGATCCGTATCACTACAGATTCATATATAAAAAATATTTTTATGTGTTCCCTTATGAATTTGACCGTTGCTGTATATTTTAGGCTCTTCTTTATCAATGAGTGTGGACCATTGTCGAACACCTTTCTGTAGTCAATCCATGATATCGATAATTTTTTTTTTTTTTTTTTTCCAATATTTTTTTTTTTGAGAATTACTTGGTCTTTGCATCCGTAAATTCCTCTTTTACATCCACTGGGAATAAATTGTTTTTCGCAAGGAAGTTGTATATCCTCTTGTTTATGATAGAAGTGAGGATCTTGTACATTGTTGGTAGGCAGGTGATGGGTCTATAGTTCTTTGGGTTCTGCGTCGCTTTGGTTTTGGGAAGTAGGTATGTTACTCACCACGTGTGTCATTTGGGCCATTTTTCTAGATTTATCATTATATCATTTTTGGCATTCTATGTGTATGTTCTTCTGGTTGTTCCTTGATCCATGTAGCTCTTTCGTTGTGCATTTTGTAATTTTACTTCTTACGCCAGAACTCCTACCCCTATCCCTAATCCTCAACTTCTTGGATCTTAGTTGAGTCATTTATCTCTAGTTTATTTTTCCCAGTTCTCGAGATAGTTTCTTGGAATCTTATTTGAAGATCTTGATTTGCCTGAAGAATTTGGTTCTTTAAGCCTCCACTTGAATTTGTTGTTTCAGTTTCTCTTTAAGTTTTTTTTAACTAATTTTTTTCTTCTTTATGTCATTCAGTTGCCTCTTTTTTCTTTCTTTCATTTTCAGGCCCTTGTCTACTTCTAAGTTCTAAGTTCTATCCGGTCGTCTTTCAAGACGAACAGATAATGTCCAAGATTCTGATCAATACGATAAGACTGGTTCAATCAATGTTCGAAAGGTTCGGAATTTTAAGGGGTGGGGGGTAGAAGGTTTGAGCACCAGATCTTGAGAAGTTTGTTAAACGCATCCCACGCAAGACCTTCGCAAATGTAGACATTTTTGGGGAATCTATTATGTGAGATCCAAGATACTTGAAGTACTCAACTCTTTTGATGGATGTATTAATGAGTGACTTCAATTCGAGTCGTTCGGGGAGGTTGTGATATATTTTCCCCTTACTCATATTGCGATAGAGACCGTCCTGTTTCGATGCTTGTTCGAGTGATTCCAGCAAGGATTGCATAATTACTGGGTGTGACAGAGATAGAAACAGAAATATTGATAAGGGTAAAAACAAAAGAAGAGTAATGCTGAGAACATTAGATAACGATTGACATTGCATTTAAATATATGAAGATTAAAGTTGGCTTGAAAGCATGGAGCCGGAATGGAGTTACACAAGCGCGAAGTGCGAGAAGAGAAGCATAGAATTAACGGCTATATCTAGCCAGGTCAACTATAAATTGGTGTAACCTCGTCGCAAGCCTAGTACTGCGTTTAAATTCAGAGAGTCTAGGAATCATAGTATTGTTACCTAGAAAGTTTTACTGAATGAGGAATACGCAAAACAGAGGTTGGAAATGAAATGGTAATCTTTATAAATCTTCAATCTTTAATCATCAACAAAATACAATACTCGCCAGCGGCGTGAAGTAGGTAAACCACTTCTAGTGGTGGACTACATAGACACCATATTATCCCCACTTACAATAGTGCCCAACGTATTTATGAGGATTGGGACATGCCTATTAGTGTTCATAGGTACGGTATATAACACTTTCTTTCTTTCTTTCTTTCTTTCTTTCTTTTATAACCGAGAAAAGTTTACTGAATGAAGAATAGCCAAAACGGAGGTTGGAAATGGAATGACAGTCTCTATAACATTAACAAAATACAATACTCGCCAGCGGCGTGAAGTACGTAAACCCCTGCTAGTGGTGGACTACTTATACAGCATATTAGCCCCACTTACAACAGTGTCCGACGTATTTATAAGAATTGCGGCATACCCATTACTGTTCATAAATACGGTATATAACATTTATATTTGCTATATATATATATATATATATATATATATATATATTATGGAACATATTTAATATTTTATTTTATTAGGATCCACTTGTATTATATACCATATCTATCTATATGGATCCATATCCTAATATATATATATTCGTAAATGGTTCGTAAATAATTTGGCTGTAGTGACGCACCCACTGGAGAAGCAACTATCTTTAATTTTTCTTCATATGTGTCTTCCCAGTTAGATTCCTAAATAAATAAAATGAAAATCTTTATAATATCAACAAAATACAATACTCGCCAGCGGCGTGAACTAGGTAAACCACTGCTAGAGGTGGACTACTTAGGCAGCATAGGACCCTCACTTACAATAGTGTTCAATGTATTTATGAGGGTTGGGGCATACTCATTAGTGTTTTTAGGTAGGGTATGTAACACATAGTGAAGAGTTTATTCGATCAATAACCATGAAAGTATTTAGAGAAGAGTTACTGGGAGGCAACCTCACAGCTGTGGGAAAGTGACTGAAACCAAGAGACCAAAACAGGGCAAATAATATTGCTGTGTCGATAGAACAGTGACTGAATTGCGACGTTACATCCAGAGAAAAGTCTTTAGTTCCCGCAGATCTAACCTTCACGGCTAGGACAAACGATTGTGACAAAGCTCCCGCATGTCTTCCGTATTCCATTGGGTCTACTCGAGCATCCTCTTCCCGCAAACATGTGCATTGTGGAACCGAACCCAAGAGTACAATTTCGCGATCATTACATTCTTAACCTGTTAAAATCTAGACTTAATCATTAGCTTCCCTGCATATTCTCATAAAACGTGTCTCTTCTTCTATACCTTTGCTCTGTGGCTTGTAAATAAAAAGTATATATCATTCCATCTATTTCAGTATATATATATATATATATATATATATATATATATATATATATATATATATATATATATATATATATAGTCAAACCTAGTGAGCCAGACCTAAGCTTTGGTGAAACCTGGGTAGGTTTGTCTAGCTCACTAGGTTTGACTAGGTCTGCTCTACGGTTGTATTGAACCTTTTTTATTTAGTTGTTTACTCGTGTTTTTTTTTTTTTTTGGGGGGCTTCAAACCTTTATCTGTGCGATTTTTTCGAGAGACTTTCATGTTTCCAGTTCTTTCTTTTTTTAAAAGTTTTTTTCCTTCAGATTGATTTAATTATTGGCAAATCAAAAATTCGAAGGTTTTTCGAGAAAAGTATAGTTACCTATATATATATATATATATATATATATATATATATATATATATATATATATATATTTCTGTTCATATATATATATATATATATCTATATATATATATATATTTATATATATATATCTCATTCTGTACATATATCTAATTCTGTTCATATATCTATCTATCTATCTATCTATCTATCTATCTATCTATCACAGTTCTTTTTAATTTCTATGTATCTATATTTATCTATCTCATCTATCTATCTATCGGTCTGTCTTGTCTATCTGTTCGTATTTCTATCAATTCTGTACATATCTATCTTCTATCTATCTATCTATCTATCTATCTCTCTCTCTATCTATCTATCTATCTATCTATATATATATATATATATATATATATATATATATATATTATATTATATTGTTAACTGTTATCTTCCCCATATGTCCGTATAAACTGTGCCAATTACTCTGTAACCCGCTCTGTCTGGAATGACTCCTGGGCCTTGTACATAGTGAACCTCACTGTTGCATATACAAAAGAAGATGAGGCCTGTAATCCGAATCTAAACTAGGAAGTCCTAGAAATTCAGACAGAAATGTCTGTATAGCGTGCTGAAGATTTGCGTGGAATTGTAAGGGACAGGCCAATCGTTCTACTCAAAGTGAACTGTTAATTCTAGACTCAAATTTAATGCCTCGAAAATGAAATATTACACGAATCTCTTCTGGAAGGACCTACATTAGCCACTTGTAGCAATCTGTAAATAATTGTCTCTACGTGAAATTTGATCTGACCATTCAACTTTAAGTAGAAAAACGGTTTTGAATTTTTCTTGTCCCACATTGCGAAAAATAAAAAAAAAAAAAAAAAGAGAAAAAAGAAAATAGATTCGGTAATTGAATTAAATAATATTAATTAATAAATTAATCATAAATCTTCAGGAATTAACTCAACTTTAGTCCGATTAGATTTTTCCTTTCTCCTTTCATTTTAAATGGTAACATCGATGTCAACGGGGCCGAAATTCGGATTTATTTTTCAAGTGCACGTTCACCTGCAAAGGCTTACTTG